CACACACACACACACACATACACACACACATACACTCCTGTCTATTGATGGGGAGCACCACTTGCGTCCCATGAACATCGTGAATAAAGCACCAATCGGGACATCACATACACACTCTCTTCGAGTTGTGTATGGCGAACATGACAAAACATACATACAACATAATCACTACCTTACCCTTCCCGAACCACATAAACAAACGAACTACGGGCTGCACACCCGTGCCCTCACGGTAAGTCAATTGGTAAGCATCCGGGCTCAAACCACGGTACATGGCCCCAGCCAAGATGAGAATCCAATTGAGCCTCTCCTAAAAGGGTTTCTTTTTTTTCCTTTTTTTTTTTTTTTTTTTTTTTTTTGGAATGTAGTTTGTTCTATCATCGTTCTATATGTGCTTTCGGTCTTGGTGAGTAAATTTTTAGCTATTTGATGAAGGTAGGGGTATAAGTCCCTCCAGCTGCTCTGAGTTCCGTCTAGCCTTGGGTAAGTTCGCAGCCCTTAGGCTGCGGTATAGTGGGCCTCGGCGTCTGTGTTCGCAGCCCGTCAGGGGTGCATTTTATGCCCCTGAGAAATTTCGTCGTCGTCACCAAACGGTGCGGTAGTTGGAAGGGTGGTGTATTTGTTGGGGGTCCAATTCGTGGGAAATAGGCAGTTTTCGTTGTTGGAGGACCGGTAGTTGCCCGCAGGAGGTCGGGGAGGCTGGATCCTGAAAAGTTTTCGGTGTTGGAGGACCGGTAGCTGCCCGTAGGAGATCGGGGAGGCCGGGTCCTGAAAATTGGCTTTCCGCTGAGTTAGGGCGGTTTTTTTTGGGGGGGGGCGACTGGAAGGCGCAGGCGGGTTCAATCTTGCAAATTTTTAGCGCCAACTTTGGCGATTTTTCGTACGCAGAATAATTGGAGAAAAAATCTGAAAATTTGATATCAAGTAGGCCAGGTCGTGATCTTTCCATAAAAAATATCAACAAAATAAAATAAAATCGTTTAGACCATGAAATAAATGTCGCGCCAATTCGTCACTTTTTTAATTTTTGGCACACGACAACTTGTGGGCCAACGAGAAAAGTACCCCTATTTCAAAGATTTTTCACGCTCAGAAGAACTCGTAAACATTTGGTCATGATCTGTTCAGGAAAAATGTTTTTAAAAATTTTAAAAATCGTCTCAACCGCGAAATAGCTTATAGCGCAAATTCATCCCATTTTCCATATTCACCACTATGCCAGTTCTCCACTCTGTGCTACCGGTCCCCCGAATTTCCAACGTCGGGTAGAGTGGTGGTTTGAATTCGAAGCCTGTTGTGGTCGAAATCGAAACAGGTCAAAAGCAGCGGCGGCCGCTCCCGTTCCCTCTACGTTCACAACGTGATAGTCTCCTTGTGTGCGCCGAGAGCGTGGTGCTTTATCGATCGAGGGATTTTGACAAAGTGGCGCCGCGCCTGATTTTTTTTTTTTTCTCTCTCTCTCTCTCTCTCTCTCTCTC